CTTCATGTCGTGACAACATACTCCAGCATAAAACCGATGGTGATCTACCATAGCTCGGAATGCCGAGCGTTGATAAGCCACGTATCCCACGTGCACCGACCAGACGGCCCGCCCCTCGGACACCCGATCCCGAAGAGCTGGTGGCCACACCTGCCGAGGATACTGCTCCCGCAGACGATGGACCCCAACAAAAGGTAGACCAATCTGCCGAACCTCTGGTTACCGTTATTGTGGCTATATCAAACATACCACTCACTGCCGAAGAAAAAGCGGCAAATGACAATATGAAAGCAGATCTATCAGCAGAGATCCAAGCAGATGAGCACGTGGACGCGGGCATCCTCGACACAATTATTGACCCGCCAGAGGACTTATTCAACCACCCCGACTACGACCCAGAGGAAGACTCAAGGTGGACCAGACAACCATACGACCACCGCATATACCGCTGGGTGTCGGAGCTTTTGGTCGACTCACATATGATAAAGATGAAGCAAATCATTGATGTGCACGCTGGCGTGGACAGATTTGTGGTGGATAAAGTACAGTCGTACTTACAATTTGACGTTCAATTCGGATCCAAAGCATGGAGCGCAGAGACATACTATTTGGATTGTAATCATACCCACAAATGGGCACGTGACTTACCGATTTGCAGTGCAGATCGCTTCTTCAAAAAGTTGGTAGACTACCTGGGCCCAGAGACCATCGAGGAGTCGACTACAGGCGTCTTCCAATGGATATCCAAAGTGTATCAAAACATATTGCTGGAGAGTATTGGGGAGCTCCGTGGCTTCACAAAAGATGCTATTCATCAGAATCATCCCGCACTCCAAACGTTGCGTGGTCTATTTACACATTGCATCAAGACATTCGGCAATCCAGGCTTCCCCGCATGGACGGAGCTGGTGGAAAGACCTGCCGCGCCACGTGACCCAGGCGCGGAGCAGGACATTCCCCAGGACCCAGGCAGCATTGCACCCGCAGCTCCTGATCAAGAAACCATGGCACGGATCATAGCCGAGCAGAAGGGAATCAACCGCGAGGAGGGCGACAACGAGTCCGCCTTGCAGGAAGAGGCCCGCCGTTTCCGTGCAGAACGTATGCCATGGTGATGCTGAGGATGCGGACAACGACACGACCGAGCGCATAAGACTGCCAGGGGAAAGATTGTCTAGGATCGAGATCGAGGGAATGAGTAGATCAATCGCTTCCCGACCGACTGCCGAGATCGACCGCGATGCCATGGATCAGATCGGGCGCAGTCTCGCCTGTGGTCAGGAGACCCAATGGGGATCCCGTGAGCATCTCACGATTGACGGAGCCCCAGAAACTATCCAGCATGATATCGCGCGATGTCGGAATCGCGATCGCATCTTATCCCTAGGGATCGTTACAAATGATGGTACCCTTTGTGACATCTGCTGGCAGTGCACTGTGTCCGTAGGTGCTACGGGTAAAAGTACCGCCGTCCAGAGCGACCTGGCATACCTCCAGAAGCAGACCCACTGGATCAAGACGACGCTCTCCCGGGACGACATTACGAGGTACATGAGAGACGGAGCGCAAGTCATGACGGGCAAGCGCTCATTTCCAGGCAATGAGAAAGATGCGCTGAGGAGAATGGCCAATTCCGCTGTGAAGAGGTATCAGAAGTGGGTCGACTATGGCCGCCCTCCTGCACACGAGTGCAGACTGATGGGCGAGGCTGAAGACGACAGACCTCTATACCATCCATATGCCAATCTCGTTCAGCGTTTTCTCAATGATTTGAAGTTCCACCACCAAATGACAGGCGCTCGCGTTAACGTGGGCAAGAAGGCCTGGACCGTTGAGGACATGCGCGATGCATGTGAAATCCTCGAGACCAGCATCCGGACTGGCCAAGCTGGTCGGAAGAAACGGTGGTTGAACGAAGGCAGACTCGACGGACGCACGCGGCAGGCGCGCGGACTTGTCACGATTGCCCTCCCCAGGGGGGATGGCACCCGTGAGAAAGTCACGCAGCGCAAGCTTGCCGCGCTTGCTCACGGGTTGATTGGTTCTGCCTTGGGTTCCACCGACCAGAGGGGGGGTGATTCAGGGATGAGAACCGATCCGGTCGAGCCTGATACATACTCCCAACGCTCTGATGGTGCCATGGGGCCACGCCCGCCGCGCCATCCGCCGCCGCCGCGCCCTGCCCCTGGCGATGCTGCACGGTCCAGCGCCTCTGGCGCGGAAGACCGCGCGCCCGCGGGGCCGCGCGGCACTGCAGCGCAGCGGCAGGATAGCGATGACAGCTACAGACCTCGCGCCAAGAGGGCGCGTACGACAGACTACGCCGCCTGGTGGCGCGACGACCTAGAGGACAGCCATTGGGGCCTCAGGTACTGGAGCTACTACATCAACTGCTGGATCTACATCGCGCTCAGCAACGACGAGTTCGTATGCATCCGCGACATCCAGTAAAACAAGTGGTTTCGCCACTGGATCCCGAGGACATCTTGGGAGTCGTTCACGACGAGCTACGCGGCGTGCGATGGCCGCAGGAAGTGGGACCGCAGGTTCTACGAGAACGGCAACGCGTAGTGAGTCGGCCGCCAGGCCCACCTCGAAAGGCTTGAACTTCATTATAATGCAAGTTCGCCTTGAGCGGTGGCTATTATATACTTCTAGGCCACTTCATTATACAACGCAAGTGGCCACATATACACACATATTTTGCGATAGCCAAGGCAGCCTCCTAAGGAGCAACTCCAACGGGAGTCGCTATATAGAGAATTTACATACGTGCAACTTTTCGTGTTCATCAACACGACCTTTCGTCTGGCCAGACATTTGCTTTGATATATAGATGCGTTCCGTAACGCGATCGTGTTTATCAACGCGATCTCAGAATGCATATTCTTTAGAGTCTGATTCCATTACGTTGAGAAGTATCTGACAGCGGGTGGCAACACCTGCCTCGCTTAGGCGAGGCAGGTTATGGTGTTGCTTCAACTTGCTCAGATCCTCTTTCTCCGCCCACCCGTGTCTCATTCTTCTCCGCCCTCGAGTGCCGAAGCGTTTTGGGGGGCGCACCGAGGGGGCACCAAAGCGTGCTTGGCGAAGAAATTGGGACCCTGGGTGTTCCTTCTTACCTTACCTTGCAGCTGAGGCTACACTGACTTTGCGCTCAGCTGCCTGCAGACCTGAGGATTGATGGAGTAAAAGGGTGACGGATTCTTTTCCTTTATTCCCGAGTCCTACCCTCACGGGCGGGATTCGGGACAGGGGGGGTGTGAATAGACCCCGTGTGATACCCTCATATATACTCCTTATCCTCACCTCTCCTGCGCCTTGCCTTTTTGGGCTCAGGTATTGGGGCGGATCGATCATACCTTTGATCGCGCAGGAGGGAAAGACATCCATCTATCCCTCCTTCCCTCTACCAGCGGATCAGGGGTTCTGTACCCTTGTACTTCAACCCCATTCACACCTCCCGGGCCTGAATGGCGTCGGCCATGGCTTCAGCCCTTCCCACCCTCCCCCCCCGACTCCCCCCTCCCAGGCCTGAATTGCGTCAGCCATGGCGTCGCCCCCTCTCCCCCCCCCTCCCCCCCCCTCCTGGGCCTGAATGGCGTCAGCCATGGCGTCAGCCCCCTCCCCCCCCGACAGAGCGAAGCTTGAGCGAGCTCCCCTCTCCTCCCTCCTCCCGGGTCTGAATGGCGTCAACCATGGCGTCCCCCCCCCGACTCTGTCCCCCCGGGCTTGAATCTACCCCCCCCCTCCCCCCCCCTGGACCTTAATGGCGTCGGCTATGGCGTCAGCCCCCTCCCCGACAGAGCGAAGCTTAAGCGAGCTCCCCTCCCCCCTCTCAGGCCTGAATGGCGTCAGCCATGGCGTCAGCCCCCCCCCCCCCTCAATGGCGTCAGCCATGAAGGGCCTGAATGGCGTCAGCCATGGCGTCCCCCCCCCCACTCCCTCCTCCCGGGCCTGAAGTGGCGTCAGCCATGGCGTCCCTCCCCCCCTCTCCCTTCCGGGCCTGAATGGCGTCACCGGGGCCTGAATGACGTCAGCCATGGCGTCAGCCCCCTCCCCCCTCCCTACTCCCTCCTCCCATTCCTGAATGGCGTCAGCAATGGCGTCCCCCCACCTCTCCCTCTCGGGCCTGAATGGCGTCAGCTATGGCGTCAGCGCCCCCCCCCATCCACGACAGAGCGAAGCTTGAGCGAGCTCCCCGCTCCCCTCCCCCATCCCGGGCCTGAATGGCGTCAGCCATGGCGTCACCCCCCCCCCCCGACAGAGCGAAGCTTGAGCGAGCTCAAGCCCACGCTCCCAGAAACTCACACGCTGGTTCGGTGGATTTGATAGCCTGAGCGGGCCCCAAACAGTGAGTTAGTGCATTGTGGAGGCAAGAGCAGCGTTGTAGACGTTCGGTGTTCTATTTATGTAGGGTACGTTTTACGGTGTGGGGTGTTTAGTGCCATCGTATGATGTGTACTTTGCATTGAGAGTTATATCGTGCGAGCGCTATCGTACAAGCTATGTGGTGTAATATATGATGATCATTGTGAGCAGTGTGAGCCATGGGGTGAATGCGAGGCAGCGTAAGCATTGGTGTATCAGCTATGTTGTGTAAAACTGTGTGATGCAAATTTTGTTGAGGAAGCTATGCGTGGCGAGCCATGCGGTGCAAGCTATGTTGTGTAAGCTCTGTTGTGCAATCTATGTTGTGCCAAGCACAGTGCTCCCACGGGGCGCCCCCGAGCGGGCACGGGCGCCAACGCGGCGAACATCCTGCAAACCTATCCAAGTACAGGAGAAGCCCGAGCAAGAACCCCGGAGTGCGAGCTGCTGCCTGGCCTGGCGCGCACGTGCCTCCGCCTCCGCCGTGCCTCCATCGCCGCCGTGCCTCCATCGCCGCCGTGCCTCCGCGGCCCGTGCGCTGAGAGCCCTGCCGCCGCCGCACCGAGAGTCCCGCCGCCGCCGTGCCTCCGCGGCCCCTGCGATCTCCGCCGTGCGGCCGCCTGCGGCAGGTCGGCGCGGCGACCGCGGCCTCGGAGGCGCGCCGCCGCCCCCGCCAGCGCGCGCGGGGCCGCGCCCCGGAGACGAGGGCGCAGTGAGTCGGGGGGATCCCCTCGCGGCCACGGCTGGACGCAGCTCCGGAAGACTTGCCAGGGACGGACGTCGAGCTGCCGTCGTGTCAGCTCGCCCTGCTCCGCGCGCGCGCGCCTCGCGGCCTCCGCGCGCGACAGGGCCTCGCCATCGCGGCTTGCGTCGGCGGCGGTCCAGGGCGGACTTGTCAGGGGCAACGTCACGGGGGAGATTCCGCTCGGTTGGGGGTGAGGTCAGGGGTAACGTCGAAGTTCGCAGGTCGAGGTTCTCGGACGCTTTCGTTTGTTCTCGGCGGATTTCCAGTCTCGGGATGGTCTTTAGCAGCTGCGCCTCTCCGAGGGGCGTCCCAGGCTGCCTGGATCGTCGCAAGGGGATGGATTCATCGACCCCCAGTCGCCTCCTGATCGCCGATAGGGGCCTGATTGCCCACCCTGTCCAGGAACGTGCAATTTTGCTATCGGAGGCCTGTCGCCGATCTATCGGCGGTGGATTGCCTATTCCAGCTGAATGCCTCCACTCCTGAGCAGGTTCCCCCCCCCGATCGTCCCTCTTCAGTTTGTCTTTTGTCCATCACCACCACCTGAGACCTCGGCAGGCGGCGGTCGTGGATAAGTCCCCGCCCCGCAGACGACGCCGCGTCGTCGTCGACGGCGCCTGACGCAGTCAACGACGGCGTCGTAGCTATCGCCGCGGACGCTGGCGTTAACGTCTCCGGTCGGCGTCGTCGGCGGGTAGTCCAGGGACTGACCCTGCGCGGTGCTCGGTCGTTGTAGTCGTCATCGTCGTCGTCGTCGCCGTTGTCGTTGTCGTCGTCGTCGTCGTCGTCGTCGTCGTCGTCCCCTTCCACTTCTCTCCCCCTTCTCCCCCATCCCCCTCCTCCTCCCCTTGGAGGAGGAGTGGGGATTGGCGGAGGGAAGGAGGAGACTGGGCAGTACATCAAGACCGCTTAAAACTTCGGCGCAACTGGTATTGAAACATCTTGCTGCGTAGCCCTCCTGGAAGGTCAGGATAGTGTTCGGCACTGCGCTCTCATCGCCCAAGATGCGCTGTGCAGCATTGCGTCGAACGTCTTCGTTCCCAGAATCGGCCGACCCTGCAGCATCGAGCGTATCTTTGCGTCCTGTGTATCTCGCCCCATCAGCGCTTCATACCCTCCCTTCATGCCAGGAGCACGGGGTACCAGACATACGACGATACAGTTTCGATGCGCGGGGCCTACTCCGATCTCTCCTGGGAAACCTTGTCGATTGCAGCAGCATCATATCGACGGTGATTTGGGCCAGTGTCATGTGTATCGCGCTCCATGTCCTTCCCCACCCTTCAATGCCCAGAGGACGAGGTAGCCCTCGAAAGAGGCCCGTGCCCCTTGGGTGTCCTCCCGATGGAACGATGGAGTGACGATGAACCTCAAATATATTACATGTTGGACGCGATGCCGGTCACGATGTGGAAGGGGCAGGTTGGTTTCAAGCTGCTGCAGATACGAAGCGGCGGAGGGAGTGGGAAAAGGATGTCCGAAATGAATCGTCATGAAAGCCAACCTGTCCTTGCACAGGTGAGGCACTGCAGTGCCATCCACCCACGCCGCGCGCCTGGCCTCTCTCTGTCTTTCCTGGGTGTCCTGCGGAGTCGGCCCCCTGCCGTGCCAGGAGGAGGGGAGGGCAGTTGCGCTGCAGAGAGCTAACGTGCAGCCTGTAGACCTACCAGGACCGCATTTGCAGCCTCGACTCGACATGAGAAGCTGGGACGCCCCGGTGCTGCTCTCTAGCCCTCCAGGACGGCCACGGGGTGGGGGTGGTGCTCCCCGCGCGGCGCCGCGAGGCCATCGACGCCGACGTCGACAGGGCCACGATGGCCGAGGGCGTGATGGCAACCCACGCGGACCTGCGGGAGGCCGCCTCCAGCGGCGGTGGCTATGGGAACCGGGGTCGCAACCGCCACCGAACACGGTGTAATTAGCGGACCGTCTTCGGGTTGGGTTCGCGAGCGTGAAACACTCAACAGAGCTAAGAGGGCCCTCGTCGGTATGGCTGGACTCTCCTGGAAATTCTTGCAAGAACGCGCCCCTGGAGAGGTCCGGGGGTCCGGCGAATTGTTTTTCGCAATCCTTGCGTTTCTCCTAGATTTCGGCCCTTGGGGCCCGTTCTCGAGCCCCAGAGCCATCAGAAACGGATCCAGGGCGAAAAACTTACCCCGCGGAAGGGGTCGGGACCTTCTGGACTGCGCATTGAACAAATCAGATCGTCAGATGTACGGGTCCGCGTTGTCTAGCTTTTCGCGGGCACGCCCTCGTCGCCGGAGCTGGGGACAGCTCGAACGACCAGCCAGGATGGGCACCTCAGCGAGCTTCGGTCGGAGGGCGATTGCGCAGGAGGAGATGCGAGGACAGGGGGCACAGGGCGGCGTAATGAATGATGAACCAGTAGTAACTGGAAGGATGAGGAGGAGGAGGAGGAGGAGGAGGAGGAGGAGGAGGAGGACAGACGACCGAGAAACGTATGGGAGGAGAATGAGGATTGAGGAGGAATACGAGGAGGAGGAGGAAAGATGAGGCGGAGGAGGAGCAGGAGGAGGAGGAGGAGGAGGTGGTGGAGGAGGATAATGAGGAGGAGCGGAGGAGGCTGAGAAGGAGGATGTGGAGGACAGCGAGGGAGTCCGACCCACGCGGACTCGTGGGAGACGCCCCTGCGGTCCTCGTCGTCGTCATCGTCGCTGCCCCCTCCCCTTGCTGCTCCTCCTCCAAGCCTCCCCCGCGTCGCGCAGGAAAGCGCGTTTGCTGAGGACTCCTGCTCACCAGTCGGCGGGCGGCAGCGGCGGTGCTGCCGCAGGCGTTGGATCGCGTGGCAGGCGCACTTCCCCAGGAGGGACTGCGCACCACAGGGAGTCGCGGGCTGTGCCGCTTGCAGAGCTTCGGTGTCGCAGGTGGGGCTTTTGTGCTTTTCCCCGGGTGTGCTCCCCGAAATGGCTTCGGGCTAAATAGCACAGTCCAAAACAAGGATCCTCACCGTTGGGAGCCCAGCAGCGTGGCGTGTAACTCACCGTTTTTGGCCGAATGCCCGGTCTTGCTCTGGCAGTCGCACGCAGATGGGTCCCCACGGCGGCGTGTCATCGCTGCGTTTTGGCTCCGACTCCTTCGGACAAGAAGCCGCGACGTAATCCTAAACCGTCGAGGTTCCGCGCGGGTCTGCTAGATCTGTGCTGGACGCCCTGGCGGCGCCGCCGGCGCCACCCCTAGCCGCGCTCCAGGGGTCCAGAGCGCTTGCGCTGCAGTGTTGATGCGGCAAGCCCCCTCCTCCTCCTCCTCCTCCTCCTCCTCCTCCTCCTCCTCCTCCTCCTCCTCCTCCTCCTCCTCCTCCTCCCCCCCTGCTCCTGCTGCCGCACTGCGCCTCCGCGCGTCCCCTGTCGTGCGCGCGACGCGTGGCGCGCCCAAGACGCGCGCGCCGACCGCCGCGGCCGCGAGGCCCCCGGGTACCACCAGGGGAGCAATGTTTCTGCTTGAGAGAGGGAAGGAGGGGTCGCCACCAGGGAGGGGGAGGGGAAGGGGGAGGGAGAGGCCCGCTCATCGCCTTTTGCAGCGCAGTTGACGTGGGCGTGATTTCCAGTCAGTGGCGTAGTACTTGTAGTACCCTTGTACCCTGGTCTGCAACCCGGTGCAGGCCCTCTTCGGCTTGGCCTTGAGTGGCTCTGGCGAGAAAGGTGGTTTTGTTTTTTGGACCATCTGTATAGTTTGCGCTCTGGTCCAGGACTGTAATCGATGTTGTGACGACAACATGTTGTTCCAATGGCTTCACCTCTGCGGCTTCCGTCGATTGTAGCTCTGCTTTCCTCGGACTCTCGGCCGTCCTCCCATCGGACCGTAGTCTGCAGGTCGTCAACCTGCTAAACTACGTATTCGACATAAGTATTGTCGAGCTTGGCCTCGACGGTGTCACCTATGGTGATTGTTTATTGTAGTGGCCTTCGGCCATTGCCGACGATCCGGGTCGCTCGGATACACGTGTTACGCGGACACCTCACGCGCGCACACGACCAAATGCACATACGGCAGACACACATACACAGACACACTAGGCGCACGCCAGACACTAGCACGCACAGACATTCGCAGACACGCACCACACACAGACACTCGCACAAGAGCCTGTCAGGGCGTCGTGGGGGCTTCTTGGGGGCTTTGGGGGGCCCTCTTGGGGGCTCTTGGAGCCTCCTGGGGGCCTCGTGGGCTGGAAGGCTAGATTTTTTCCGCGTTTCGTCCCTCTTTTGGGTCCTCTTGGGGCCGTCTTGGGGGCCTCTTGGGCCGTCTTGGGCGGCTCTTGGGCCGCCTTGGGGCCCTCTTGGGCCGTCTTGGGACTGTCTGGGGGCCTCCTGGGCCGTCTTCGAGCGGTCTTGGGGGCCTCTTGGGCCGTCTTGGAGCGTCGGAAAGCCGAAAAAAGCGACAACCCCAAAAACATGAAAACCACAAATGGAAATCAACGAATTTTGCCTCTGGGGGCCCTCGTGGGAGGCCTCTTGGAGGCCTCTTCAGACATCTTGGAAGGCTCCTGGGCCGTCTTGGGGCCATCTTGGGCGTGTTCGGTCGATCTTTCGGGCTATCGGGACTGTCTTCGACCGTCCTCAGACACTTTTGCGGCCGCGGCCAGCCTTTTAGCGCATCCTCGAGATTAGAGCCTTCTGTAAAAGCAGCCCCGCGACCGCCGGAAGACTCGTCCCCCCCACCCCACCCCCCCTTCCCCGGCAGAGCCACCCCGGCAACTCCCCCAGAGGCTGAGGCTCAGCCTCGAGGCTGTAGCTGAGACTCCTTGAAACTCACACGCCGGATCGGCGGACTTTGTTTCGTCGTTTTTTCCGACTGCGGAGGACTCTTCCGCCTCGTCGTTGCCGAGTTTCATGACAGACATGTCCCAGATCAGTTCGTTTATATTATTCTGCGGACCCGTGCTGGTATTACTCTTCTCGTCTTGTCACTGCTGCTGCAGTAGTTGCTGGATACCTGTTTCTGTGTACACCCCCTGCAAGCTGTAGTTCTTGAGCCAAGGCCTGTGGGTCCGCCTGTAGATCCACTCGTGGACGGCCTACTCGACTTCATGATCGCACTGCTGCATCGTAGCTGACGGCATTCGGCCCCCACTGCACGCTCCACTGCCTGCTGCCACTGCCTGTCCTTCTCGCACCAACTGGTCCGCGAATGACATCTTGAATACAACTCTCGCACCGCTTCCTGCTGCCACTGCTGGAACTTCTCGCACACTCTGATGCCAGTGTGTAACTCATGACGCCTGGCCTTTACATTTCTCAGAGCACACTCTGCTCCCATTGCCTGCGTTTCGCGCGCGTTCTCATATTGGATTGTAGCTGATGCCGTCTGATATCCAGCACGTGAGTCGTCCTGTGGCGCTAGTGCCAACTCTTCTCGCACGAGCTGGTTCGCGCAAGTAGCCAGTGATGTCTGGTATCCTGCCGCCGCGCCGCTGTTAGCTGCCACTTCCGGCACGTTTCTTACACGTCGTTGCCAGCCTGTAGCTGACGACGGGTGTTTTTTTGTGCCAGTTCTTGAAACTCGATCTGCTGCTGCCACTGCGGGCTCTCTGCGCACGCCGCGGTTCGAGGTCGTAGCTGACGACGTCTGATATCCAGCTCTCGCGCCGCTGCTCACAGCCACTGCGCTGCCAGCGCTTCTCGCACATGTCTTTGCCACTGTGTACCCGGTGACGTCTGATCTTCTACAAGATTTCGCAATTGCGTATGCTGCCACTGCCACCTCTTCGCGCACGCTCTGGTTCCAGACTGTAGCTGACGGCGTTTGGCATCCAGATCCTGTCACATCGTCTGCGGCCCCGGTCATTTTTTCTTGCGCATGCGTAGCTGCCGACGCCTGGCACCGTTCGCTGCTGCCAGTGCCAGCGTTCCTAGCACACGCTGTTGCTAGTCTGCAGCTGATGCCGCATCGTGTCCTACAGTTTTCGCACTGCAGCGCGCTCTTTGACAGGCGTCCCTCCTCTGCCGCTCCTGCTCCTCCTCCGCCTCCTCCTCCTCCTGTCACGTTCCGCTTTTCTCGCACGGGTCGACAGCAGACGCTGTCCGCTGCTGGGGGTGGCAGCAGCATGGCTGCCGCCAAGGCCCACCACTGCTACTGCCCACTCGCTCCCTCTCCCAAGAGGAGACTCCTGTATCCTCCTTCTTGTCCTTCGGGTCCTCCTTCACGTTCTTTGGGCCTTCCTCCTGGTATTGTGAGTCATCCACCTCATCCTCTTCTCCGCCGATGTCCTCCTTCATATCCGTTTGAGCCTTTCCTGCATCCCGAAGTGTCCTCGACCTGAACTATCGATGTCCCACATGTCTTAAAGCGGCTGTGTAGGATCACAGTCTTGCGGCCAGAACATCGGTGCATCGAGTCCGAGGGATGTATGCCTGGGCGCGTCAAATGGACGCAGGGGCCGCCTCTCCCCCTTGCTGCTGCTCTCTGGCCCGCCTCAGCCCTCTCTCTGTCTCTCGTTCCAGCGCCTGGAGGATGATGAGGGAGTCACGCTGCAGATCATGATCGCCTCCATCCTCTCCACCACGACCAAGTGAGCGCATTCCTTTCATATGTCACTGCTGTCTTCCTCTATCATTTCACCATGTTGGTCACAGCGCCTAAATCGGTTCTTCTTTCACCATGCCGCCTTTCTGGCATGTTGACGCTACGGTCTCAGTCGACCTAAGGTTGCCCGACGCGAGAAGGAGCATGGGGGAGAGGCGAAAGGGGAGGAGGAGGAGGAGGAGGAGGAGGAGGAGGAGGAGGAGGAGAGGAAGAGGAGGAGGAGGAGGAGGAGGAGTGGGAGCAGGAGGATGTAGGGGGGAGGCGGAGCAGCACCGCCCACCCGCTGGCCCCGCGGCACCAGGCCAAGCAGATCGCCAGCGCCCTCAGGGACGCGGATGGCCAGCGGAGGCGGCTCCAGGCCCCGGGGCGTGCCGCCCGCCGCTCTCGCCCCACGCTCGCTCGGCAGCTGGCCCCGCAGGCATCGAGGGGCCAAGGATCTCGGCATCGCAGAGCAGGGGGCTGACGTCCGGACGGAAGCCGAGATCTCCTGTCGGAAGCTGGGCGAGGGCTGCTAAACCCGTGGCTGCCAAAACGGCCCTCCCGGAAGGAAAACACAGCTTCCCGGAATGAGGCGCGGCACGCGAAACAGTCAACGGGCTTCTTCCCGGAAGGACGAAGACAACTTCCCGGAGGTCTATTTCAGCAGCCACTGATTTAGCAGCCCTTGCCCGGCGTCCGATCCAAGGGTGTGATTTTTTCAACGCGGACGTGTGCCTTCGACTTGGGCATCTAGGGATCCGTTCTCGGGCCCCGGTGCCATCAACATTGGGTCTGGGGTGAAAGGCCAGCTCCAGGGAAGATGTCGTGACTTGGGACTGCGCACGGAAGCCAACTCGTCGCCGGATGTCTGGCAACAGGTCCCGGCGGGCCTTGGGACCGTGCAGAGACGACTCAGGATGGAGAAATTGGTCCCGGGGCGAAGGCCCTGGCTCGAGGATCTATGGGTCGAGGTTCGATGCTCGAGGCCATGGTGGGAGCGAGGACTCCTCGAGGGCTCGAGGCTCCAGGGCTCGAGGCTCGAGGGGGCTCGAGGCTCCAAGGCTCCAAGGCTCGAGGCTCGAGGCTCGAGGGGGCTCGAGGGCTCAAGAGGGCTCGAGGCTCGAGGCCACGGTGGGATCGAGGACTCCTCGGGGGCTCGAGGGCTCCCCTCCGGGCGCTCGCCTGCGCGCCCGTGGTCGCCCTCCCCCCCCCGGCGACTCGGCCGCGGGCCCCCGCTCGCGCCCTCCCCCGCCCGCGGGGAGGGGGGTCAACGATAGGGGCTCAGGGAGGGGAGGGGGAAGGGGGGGGGGGAAAGGGGGGGGGAGGGGAGGGAGGGGGAAGGGGGAGGGGGAGGGGGGAGGGGGAAGGGGGAAGGGGGAGGGGGAAGGAAAAGGGGGAGGGGGGGGGAGGGAAGGCGGTGGGGAAGGGGAAGGGAGGGGGAAGATGGAAGGGGAGGGGGGAGGGGAAGGGGAGGGGAAAGAGGGAGGGGGAAGGGGGTAGGGGAAAGGCAGGGGTGTCAACGCTAGGAGGGTCAACGATAGGGGCTCAGGGAGGGAAGAGGGAGGGGAAGGTGTCCGTTTCTCTCCCCCCTCGTATCTCGCCGGCTCTTTCAGCGGAGATCGGCCAATTTTCGGACTGGCCCCCTCCTGCAGTGCCAGACGGCGCCTGCAGGAGGGGGCCGATGGCAGCAGGGAGTACCCGTCAACCGCCATGAGTGAGTGAGTGGAGGGGGAGGGGGAAGGGGAAGGAGAGGGGTATCAACGCTAGGGGTGTCAACGACAGGGGCTCAGGGAGGGATGCATCGACCCCACGTCGGCCACTCATCGCCGACTGGTGTCTGAGCGTCCCACCCCGCCCAGAAGCTTGCGGATTTCCATCCTGGGCCTATCGGCGATGTAGTGCTGATCCCACGTTGATGTTTCCCACACTGAGCTGGTCTCCCCCTACCGTTACCCCGCAGGGGAAAATAGAGGTGCCCCCGACATCTTGCGTCCTAAGACAATCAAGGCGACGGTAGGTCGTTCTTGACCTCCACGGGCCCCGGCCGGGATCCGTGGCTGTCAAGTAACGACTCAGGACGGCAAAGTCGGCCATGGGGAACATCTGTATTCCAGGCGACTTCCAGGGAGCCCGTATTGAACAAACAGCGATACATCGGATATTTGGGTAGGGAGAGGGAGGAGGGGGGAAGGCAAGCCAGGTGCGCTCGCGCAAATACCGACATGACCCCTCACCCCCATCCGTTCCCGTTGCGTTGATTTGTCTTTATCCTTGTGACGCGCGAAGCATGCTACAGAGCGCCCAACAACGAAAACATTAAAGTAGCCTAAAAGTAACTCAAAAGTAACTTTGCCACATTCGAGCAAAGTGTGCCCAGGAGCGCCGTCATCGCCCTCAGAGATAACTTCTGCGACTCCAAAAGCGTTTGCGTTGCCATTTCAGCACTGCGTTTCGTCGAGGTTTGTCGTAGAACGGAATTGCAAAGCGGCGACTTTGCGTTGCGTTGCGTTGCGGCATTGCATCAAGCACGACCGAGTGATGGCATCGGCGACACTGCATTGTGGCGACGTCTACACTGCCGCAACTGAACGCGCCCAATTGGCAACGCAAACGCTCTTGGGCCCACGCAGTTGTTCTGACGGCGATGACAGCGCGCCCGCGGCGCACGTCGCTCGAGCGTGGCAGCGTTACTGTTGTGTTCTTTTTGGGCTAGCTGCTAGCTCAAGAGGGCGAAAGAGCCTTAGAGGGCAGCAACGTTGGGTGTGCCGACGTCGGCGGCTCTGCATTGCTGCGCCATTTGCATTGCAGTGAATGTCATTGCGTTCTGGGCCTGATCATCTTCCCCCCGCTCTATCTTCAGCACCTCACCCTGTCGTCGCGCCCTCCATTGCGCCGTATTTCTGCCGCCATCGTCGTTCATTATCCCTTATCAGCATCCTTCTGATTTCGCTCCCACCGCCCCCTCTCGACGTGGGTGCCCGTGGGTCGCGCCTCTGAACGCTCGAAGGGGTGACGGGGGGCTTTGACGTAATGGTGGGTTGGTGGAGGATTGGAATCGAGAAATGAGACGGCCACAGGAGCGCAAACCAAAGCAAACCCAATGAAACCAGTACAAAAACAATGCGCAGTTTGGGTGGGGTCAAGCAACAGGGGCACATATCGCAAAACAACCCTAACTGTGCCAGGGAAGTGGCGATAACCCATCGCAGAGGGTGGGGGCTTCTTAGGCCGTCGCGGGAGTCCGTTGCATGTGACGTGAAACGCGTAAATAACATTTAAAGCCCAAACGTGCTCGCTCCTCCGATGTCAGTCAGTTTTCACGGAAAGTAGGATTCATTTCAGTAGGCATTTCGGTTCGAGGCTGTGTCCGTTGCATTTCGGCTGTTTCAGAGCGAAATGCCCGGAGGTTGGGACGCGGTGGCGGCCGTGGCGGCCCCCGAGGCCCGCCGCCAGGATGTGCCAGATCTTGACGGCCCCGAGGGGGCCCTGTCCAAGTATGAGGCGGCGGTCGCCTCATCGCTGGAGCCTCCTCTGAAAAAGAGAGGGCGACCCGACTGGCGGCTCCAGGATGTGCTTCGTTCGGCGAAGGAGGCCGACCCAGATCGCAGCGTTGCCGTTCCAGTGTCAGATGCCAGTTCTGCTGTGGATCTTCCCCTCGCCCTGCCGCAAGTGAGCACGTTGACTGTGGGCCCTGAAGTCTCTCCGACGTCTGTGTGTTGATTTTTTTCGGTCAAACAATTTGTGTGCATCGCTGTCGTGTGCCCATATGTATGCAGACGCCAACGGTGACGTGAGGGATGCGTCGACTGATGTTGTTTCTCAATATCCCATTTCGCCTCACGTTACGCAGAGTTGGGCCATTTTGGAACAGAAGACAAACGAACACGCGCGCACACTGAAACGGAAATGTCATCGGCTGGCAGAGGCCACGTTGTTTTTCCAGGCACTTGAGCGTTCATCCCAGGTTCGTTGGTTGACTCAGGTGTTGCATGCTCATAACTGTTTGCTGTTCGTGGACCAGGCGCGTTATGACGAGACCCCCATGCGATGTCGCATAGTTGGTGACGACGCAGGTCCTCACAGGTGCTTGCCAGACGATTCCCAATCCATCGTGCCACTGGAGTCCGCTGCAGACAGTATCACTGCCTCCCTCAATAAGTCAGTGACAGCGTCGCCTGAGGCGGCAAAGCTGCTGCAGACCAGTTGCGGGTTTGGTATGTTGGTTCGGTGCGGCGAGGGTCTCGTCAAACTGTCTGGGCACCCTTCGGTGCCGCTCCAGGTCCTCCAAAGAAATACAGCCAGCACGCTTCAGCAAGCCCTGGGCCTCTCAACAACTGTGTCGGTTGCAGCGAATGAGTTTATTCATCGGGTTCGGGCCGTTTGTTCAGACAGGGCTGCTTCCAATTTGTTATGTGAAAGAAGTATAGCGGCTGAGCGGAAGTCTTGGGATGTGTTGTTCAACGGGTGTGAGATCCATATTACCAGCGGAGCTTTTGAACAACAAAAAAACGTTTGGTTTTTTCTTTGATGATGCTATCAGCGGTCTCATCCACACAGCTTTATCCTTGAGCCAGGGGCCCACAATGACACTGTTCAGAAAAGCGTTTTCTATTGTCATCTGCAGCAGGCTGCGTCGGATAGACCAACCGCCACCTCCAGATGCTCACGCGTATAAGTTGCATTGTTTGGACGTGTTTTTGAAGGGCGGTTCGAATGTCGAGGTCAAACGGTTGATTCTTGCTGTTCTTCCCAATGGGGATTGGAGGCTGTCAGATAGGGTTGAATTACACTGTTCGCAGGAAGTGTGGGATTCTGTGGGGAAAGCTCGGCTTGCCACGACTCTTTCGAAAGGCCTGGTGTTTGCACTTGCCTCGAGCCAGCCTTCGAAATGGCCTCGTCACAGGTGGCTCGGAGCTGACCTTGCCGCGGAGGAAATAGGGCGTTTGGAGATGGTGCATTCCCTTTTATCGGCTACGTACCCTTTGTTTTGCAAGATGATGGGAGGGAAGGGGAAGGACGCGGGGGACATCGTCACTGCTTTCGTTGCTCACGCTGCTCTCCCCCCAGCGGACGTGATGTTACCACTGCGCGACGACGGCGACGACAACATGGATGCTGACAGACTCCCGTCTGAACAGACTGGCGCAAGCAAGGGCGGAGACGCAAACTCGAAAGCAGAAGAAAATGCAAAATCCAGGAGGAAGGCCAAACTGTGGTTGGAGACACGCCCCTTTCCTAAATTGATGCTCGTGAGGCACGCTATGCAACCGCTCGTGGACCTCACCACATCGCAATTAGACGCTGGCTCGGCAAAGTGGGAGATCAGAGAGACACGCAAAGTGGCAGAGGCTTTGCTTGCTGGAAGACCGATTGAGAACATTCGGTCATATCGATTGCTGGCTGCTGTTATGGGGACGCTGGAGGGTTCATTTGTTGAGGGCGTTCGTTCGTTGTTTCATTCGTCGGGGTCTTGGGAGATGTATCCAGAGGAATGCTGTTCGCTTCAATTTAATTGTCTCAGCTTTCGGGTTCTCAGTCGGTCGCTGTGCGCAGTTCATCGAGGCCTCCAGGGGCCGCGCCAAAGTCTCCCGACTGAATTGTGTCTTCTTCTCCGACACCCAGAACGACACCACGAGTTTTCTCAGGTCGGTGAGTGCCTCATGGATAGTTCGACGCTGGGTATGAAGATGCAGCGCCCGACTTTTTCAGGCGATGTATTCCGTGAGAAACTGTTGCTCTGCGCTGCCCTGTAATGCACTGACATTGGGGGGATCGAGGCAAGGCGCGCGTCGATCCGTCGGCAGCTTACTGCTCGTTCTGTCCAGTGCCATCGGCTTGATATCCAAGATGCGTCTTCGGAGTTCCTGTTTCAGCAGCTTCGTGCTGCAAAGCTGCATCTCCACTCGTCCGTGGCCACCGTGGGCCGACCAGCTGGTTTCAAGAAGGTGGCGGGGGGGACTCGGGCAAAGGGTACGATGAGGATGATGAGGATGGTGACGGGGGATGGTAGGGGGGGGATGCAAGACAACGTATGATGTGGATTGCGATGGGGGTTGAGACATACCAGGATGAGACGATGATGAGAAAAATGCGCTGCATGAGCGGGCGTTCATTCTTTGGAGGCACCCCCGCTATCAAGAAATCAGGCCGGGGAGAGGGACATGTCCCCATCAGAAATTTCATCCTCGGTCGCCCGCCCTGGGGCCTGCTTCATAGCGCCACCGCTGTGATTTTTTGTGATCTGGGGAGTGGCGCGGGCAGTCAGAGCCACTCATCTCCCCCCTCCCGTCGGCGATGGCGACGCTCCCTGGGCCCTGGGGGGAGGCGAAAGGAGACGGAAGAGATCCCGCGAAGGAACGGCCTGTGAACGGGGGTGGTGGATGCGTAGATGAAAAAAAGAAGTAAGGCCGAATGACAGAAGGAAGGAGTCGGAGGATGAGAGCGGCGAGGATAAGGAGGGAGGTTAGGAGAAGAGAGCTATGTTATGCGAACGTTGGGTCTCGGGCTTGGAGAGGTGAAGCATTCCATCAGCAAACAGAAGGCATCTGTCGCTCGGCATCGACGGAGGTCTCGTGGCGACGGTGGCATGTGGCGAGCGCTCGTGAAGCTGAGGACCGATGGGCAGATGGGCAGGCCAGATCTCTCTGCTGTTGCGTTGGAATAGCATGCCTTGAAGGCGTCGAGTTCCCCTGTCCTCCACGATGTGCGCGAGGTCGCACCTGCGGCCACATTGTCGTTCAGGGCCAAGAGGGAGCATGGCTCTCGCACAAAGGCTCGAGGGTTCGGCGCTTCAAAGGTTGGGTTGCGCAGGAGGCGCGCGCTGGGCAGCTTGGTAGAACGGGCAATGCATCTGCATGGCGTGCAGGCGCGTGAGAGCGTAACCCAACTTGCCAAATTCACCGCGGACGATTTGGATCAGGGTGTCAAAATTACCAGGTACATGAAAATATTGAGGTCCGCGTTCGAATCCAGATGGGATCAGGATGATGACGCGGTTCTTTCCCAATATGATGCTCAGATTGGCGCGCCGACCGCGCAGAACCTCGTCCGTCGACTACCCAAGCTTGACTCTACGAAGGTTCGCGCCATTCCGTCAGAGGGCGCACCATTGTTTGTCATTGAGACTGGCGCTCGAGAAACGGCTTCCAAAGTTTGTTCTTGGCTGGATGCATTTTCTGGTCACGACATATCGGTTGCGCTGGAAGACCAGTGGCGTCGCAGACACGCAACCATCTTGCATGACCCTTCTATCGCAGTGCCAGGCGAGCACAAGAAGAACGATTGCTTCGCTCGGGATTGGTGTTTATGCACAGCTGCAGGTAAGAAGTCGTGGGCAAAACGCAATAGCCTTCTGCGAAACATGAAGGGTGTCTTCGCACCCGAGCCTCGTGGCATCAAGTCGTTGTTGTTGCATGGTTTTGCCGTAGCACGTTTGGAAGAGACGGTGTTCACAGAAGATGTTGTTTGTAATCCGTGGGACTCTGTGGCGGCCTTCCAGCAGCGGCGGGAAACCAAGTCGGAGTTCCGGCTTCACGTTGGCTTCTACTCGCTGCGCCCGTACAAGCCCGAGTTTCACAGGATGGAGAGGACGCCGTGCCCGTTTGCGAGCGTGGCTGCTGATGAAGTTGGTCGTATTTGGTTGAAGGCCGCCTCTTTCTTTTTATCGTTTTTGCTTGTTGCATGCGCCGCATGTCCCATACGTCCCGTGAGCACTGTCCCATCGATTGACATGCGAGGGTGGTGCATGACGGAGGCTGTAAGATGGAATGCTTTTTGGCCTGAGTTCTTACGCAACTTGTCGAAAAGTGTTGCGCTGACTAACCGCGCTCCTAGGACATGCGCGGGTTCGCAGATTCGCCGTGGTATTCATGCAGCAGGTGTGGTCAGAATGAGGAGGTTGAGGGAGGGCCGATGCAACGCTCACTTTTGTGTGGTTGACGTTTCATTGCGTTGCCGCGTACTCTTGCGGCATTGTTCGTGGCGGTAGTGACCGCCAGGCCACTACGTCGCGCATGTCGGAGAAAGCGGCGATGGAGCTTCTCTCGGAGGACGGCCACGCGAGCGCGACGTGGTACCAGCTCGGGAACACCATCAGGAGTATCCCGCGCCGTTCTCCATGCACTGTGCCTGTTGTCCCACTTGTCGATGGGGCACCATCGACGCAGTTGTTCCCAGCGAAGAGGTCGGGTTCTTCTGGAGGCAAGGCCACGGCGGCCAAGGGTGGATCTCCTGCCTTGCCTGGTCACGAGCCCGATGCTGGAGACAGCGCCGACGAGGATGAAGGAGACAGCGACGGTGGTGGAGGCGACGACGGTGGCCATGACGGGGACGACCATGCTCCTATCGCACCCGTGCTAGACTTGGTGGCTGCGTGGCACGAGGGAAAGATTGAGGCGGAGCTTGGTATCAAGGAGCCGCCGTTGCCGCCTCCGCAAGTGCCGCCTCCGCCGGAGCCAGACGCGTTACCCGCTGGTCCTAGTGATGGGGGCGCGGCACCTGGCCCAGCTCCGAAAGCACTTCCTGCCCGCGGGTTCGTTGGCAAAGCCGATTTCGCGTGGGAGGTGCCGAACGGTGTTATCAGGTATTGCGGCGCCAAGCAAACGTTTGTTGCCGCTCGCAGTCTGCGCGGGTGTTCATTCACGAGGTCTGCACGTGGGTATGTCAAACGCGTCCGAGACAATGGCAAGGAATGCATCATCGGGAGGCCTGTTGGGTTTCTGGGGTCTTTGCTTGCAGCTGGGTCTGGCCCTGGCGTGGCTGACAAAGCTTCGCACGCGTCATGCAAGTTGCAGGAGCGACTTGATCGTGCGACGAGGCTCTTGGCGAGAGCATCTGCCAAGGCAGACCCCGAAGGTTCGGGGTTGCTCGGCGAGGAAAGGCCCAAGGACGACGGCGAGCTCAGCGAAGCCGAGTCCGTCGGCGGCTTCGCGCATTGCATGAACCGCCCGTGCACTTGCAGGCGAGCTGGGGGGGGGGGGGGGGGGGGTTTGTGCCGCCAAGGGTTTGAGGACAGCGTTGGGGCTGTCGCAGCGCGAGAAGGAGGTGAATGAGGAGGGGGGTGAAGGGGGTGAAGGATGGTGAGACGGAGGTGCGAAGGAGCACGGAGGCAGATCTGCGCGCGGGTTGGATGGCAGGGAGGGGGGGAAGGGCGGAGGGAGGGTGGGGGGGAGGGGAAGGAGGGCACGGGAGGGGAGGGGTGGGAAGATGAGGGGAGGAGGGAGGGGGATGATGACGATGATGATGATGATGACGAGAATGAGGATTTGAGCATCATTGGGGTTGTCTCGCAGTGCTGAGCGCAGCGCTGGGATTGTCACGCATGGCCTTTCCAGTGAAAACATCGCGCGGTTGCACGGCGACGAGTCAGGGGGCCTCTTTGCGCCCTCTTGGAGCCCTCTTGAGCCCCCGAGAAGTTCCCAGAGGGCCCACCGACAGCCCCAAGCGGGCTCGAAGACAGCACCCCGAATGATCCTGAGCGTTGCGGCGGGGTTGTCACGCAGGACCCCTTCGGTGGCAACGTCGCGCGGTTGTGCGATGACGATTTTGGGAGCCTATTTGAGCCATCTTGGAGCCCTGTTGGAATCCCGAGAAGCTCGAAGAGGGCACCGCAACCAGCCCCAAGTGGGCCCAAAGACTGCTTCAGGAGTGCCCCTGGGCGCATCGCTCGTTTTGCCACGCGCGGCCCCTCTCGGTGACAACCCGACGAGGATGGCCAGGAGGGGGTGGCTCCTCTTGCTCCTCCTCCTCCTCCTCCTCCTCCTCCTCCGCCCTCCTCCTTCTCCTCCTCATCCTCCCCCTCCCGCGCCTCCTTCCTCCTTCTCCTCCTCATTCTCCTCCCCCTGCCTCCTTCCTCCTAAAGGACAAACATCGTGGGGGGGGGGGGGGGGGGGGGGGGTCGTCTTTTCTGGATGGGGTCTGTACTATTATGTTTGGGTTTAGGGCCCGCCGAGAATGGCACGTCATTAAAATGAGCGCAACCTTGTGGGAGCAGTAGGTATCGCAGACACCAGTTTTCGCACCCTTGGAGCAAAACTGTATTGAATGTAGCATGCGCTATCGTGCGTTGAAGGCCGCGCGCGCGCTGTCTCTGGCGAGCGTTCCATTTAAATGCTCCGTGATGCGCTTGAATGTTCAACCTAACCATTTTGCTGTCATGATGTGCTTGTCGTGATGTTGCCGTGATGTGCTTGTCGCAATGTTTTTGTCGTGATGCGATTGCACTTGTAGCCCCTTGCCTTGTCGTGATTGCGGGCATGACTGTTGCATTTGCTCAGACATGTTGCAGTTGCGTTGCATGCTGCGCTCTTGGCACGCCGAAAGAAGACGAGGGCGGTTGAAGATGAGAAGGAGGGGGGGTGGCAATGAGGAACGCCATCAGCATAATTAGGGGCTGGGGCGGAGGGGGAAGATTCACCCCGCCGCCCTCCCCCTCCTCCCCCCCCTCAGGGGGCAGAGGTTGGGGCAGAAGGAACATTGGAGATCCAGAACCAATCCAGACGAAGATCCCAATCAGACCACCGCGAGCTCCACTCCCCCCCAATTCAACCCACCTCACCACCACAAGGAGACAGGAAACGAGGAGGAGGGGGGGGAAGAGAAGGAGGGGGGAGGAGGAGGAGGAGGGGGCGGAGGAGAAGGAGGGGGGTGGCAAGGCAGGGCCCGAGAGTGGACAGACAACGATATCGGTAACGATGAGAGATGCTCGATTTTTTCCGACCGCCCTCATGGTTGAACAAGCCGCACCCATGCCCATAGAGGGGACGGGTTGGCTTATTGGAGCGCGTTGTTGGATGGCACCCCTTCTCGAATGGAACCCCGCCCAAAGTCCGCCAACACCCGACCATATCCATAGACAGCCCTCCTAGTCATGGCTAGTTCATGGACATTCGCTAGATAACCATATCCACAGACAGCCCTCCTAGCTCCTAGCTCGCTAGCTAGCTAGATAACCATTTCCACAGATAGTCCTCCATGGGATATTTTCTAGCCAATGCATGCGCCTTCTGGCGTGACAGACAAGTGATCTGGCACGGTCGCGGGGGGCGTCTTGAAGCCGTTCAAGCATATTCAAACTTTGTGGTTCTCGCCTCATGCCAGCGCACTGCATCGAATAATGCCCAGTACATCACCACAGCAAAAACATGTCGCAGACGGCGCCAACGGGCCTAAGCATAGCAAAGCATTTGCACAACAACATTGACCGGACGTTGTAGCAACATTGATTCGACAACGTCGCACGCACGCATATGAAGGGGTCGCCGCCTAAGAGGGGTTTCGTTAGTCTGTGCCCACGTGTGCCAGAGGAGCTCATCTGCGCCCGTTCGCACCGCAAGCCGTCCATTGCCATTTTTGCTCGCGCTCAAGGATTCGTTCGGTTGCCGGCGGTTCCTCGCCCCTCGCGCATCTCGGTCGCAGCGACGCCGCCGAGAATCGATGCTCCTCCGCCGCGCAGCGGCCACGAGCACGGGCAGATTCGGGCGCTCCAGAGAACGGTTCGCTCGTTGAAGGTCAAGTTGTTCTGGGGGGAGAAACGGGCGAAGGCCCTCAGGACGACCGTTCTCAACATTCAGACGCTCTCGGACAATCGGCTCGACAAGGACGACGCGCAGCAGCAGACCATGAACGATCGGGTCAGGGCCGTCACAGGCGCGGCAAATGGCGACGTCCAAGGCTAGGAGCTGGTGCGCGGGACCGTCGGGGCCATCGTCGGGCCCTGGCTTTTTTTCGCCACCCTGGGCTGATCCTCATCCTCATTATTATTCTGATCGTCCTCCTCATCATCCTCATCCATCTCTTCGTCTCAGCTCGCGGTCGCTCGCGCTGGTCGCTTGCTAGAGAGCCCGTTTCTTGCCAGGCTGCTGGCGCGCGGTCGCCTCTCGAGGGGCAGACTCCAGCTTTGGCGCTGGGCGGCATCCAAAACAAATGAGATCTGCCGAGCTGTGTCCCAGGAGGAGGAGGATAATGACCGATGTTTCAAGGTTTTCGAAACGTTCTTGGGGCGCAGAGTCTAGAGTTGAGCATTCGGGCATTGGGATTCGCACTTTCAGCTTCGAGGTTCCAGCCCCTAGGGGCTCCAAGAGGACAAGAAGAGAAGGGCGAGGAGGATTGGGATGAGGATGGTGAGGGGGGGGGGGGGGGGGGGGGGCAGGAGGAAAAGGATGATGATGAGGAGGATGGGGGGCGCCCGTGAAGGAGGGGGAGGAGGAGGAGGAGGAGGAGGGAGGAGGAGGAGGAGGGGGAGGAGGAGGGGGCAGCAGTGCGCGCTGTATGAAGGGGCCTCCTGGTGATGGAACGCCTGCAAGCAGGCCGCCGCCTCCAGGAGAGACCCTCTCGGCGGTTGCGCCCTCTGCGCCCTCGTGTTAAACGGTCGCGTGCGAAAATCGCAGCAGAGGAGGGAAAAGGTTGAGGGGCGAGGGCGAGAGGTGATGAGAGGAGGGCACAGTCGGAGGAGGGAGGGGGGGGGGGCGCGGGAGAGGAGGGGGGGTTGAGGGAGGGAGGCGTGAGGGAGGGATGGTTGAGGTTTGAGGGGTCGGGGGGGGGGGGGGGGGAGGGCGGGAGGGGGCCTCCGGCGGAGGTGATGCGACACCGTCAACTTCGCAGATGCTGGCATCGCCGTCTCACAACGGCGGGGAGGGGGATGAGGATGAGGGTGAGGAGGATGAAGAAGATGATGAGGAGGAGGAGGATGTTGAGTAGGTTGAGGATGAGGATGAGGACCGGGATGAAGAGGAGGAGGTGGATCAGGAGGATGATCAGGAGGATGAGTGGGATGATGAGGGCGAGGGGGATGAGGATGGGGGTGGCGAGGAGGATGAGGAGGATGAGGTTGATGAGGATGAGTGGGTGGGGGGGGGGGGGGGGGGGCAGAGGAAGCAGGTCAATGATGGTGTGGAGGTGGTTATTGAGGAGTAACGAGCAGACCACCCCTTTGTTCAGATGTTCGCCTTTCTCCCGCCCACCCTGAACGTCCCCTTTCTTCCATTCTCCCGCTGCAGCGTTGGCCTCAGTTTCGGCCTCCCTGGGGCCCCCTCATGTTCTCAGGTCTGCTCCCGCCATGCCAGGCCATGCTATGCAATGCCATCTCACATATCCCGATTGTACGCGCCATGCAATGCTATGACATGCCATGTTATGATGCGCCATGCCATGTTATGTCATGGTATGCTATGCTATGCAATGCTACGCAAATCAATGTTATGCTCTGCCATGTAATGTTATGCCATGACAGGCCATATGTCTCTCCCTCGTTTCTCCTTCGCTGCCCCCCCCGCCATCCCTGGGGAGACCATGTATTCCCTGGGCGCCGTGATCGACAAGTACGGCATCCACATGCTGCAGCGCATGTCTCGGTGGAGGTTGGCTGGGGGCCCGCGAGCGTAGCTGCCCAAGTTTGTTTGAGAGAGGGGGGGGGGGGGAGCTTGGGACGCTGACTCCTCCTTATCATCCTTCTACCCTGCCCACATCCCCCTTGCCCGTCTCCTCCTCCCCAGCTTCCACTTCTCCTCTTCCGTATTCTTCCTCTTCTACTGCGTCGCCTCTTCGCGTCCTCCTCGCTCTTTCTTCCTTCTCTCCGTCTCTCTTCCTCCTCTCTCTCCCTCCTCTCTCTCTTTTTCTCTCTCTCTCTCTCTCTCTCTCCTCTCTCTCTCTCTCTCTCCCCTCTCTCTCTCTCTTCTCTCTCTCTCTCTCTCTCTCCCTCTCTCTCTCTCTCTTCTATCGCCCTCCTTCTCTCTGTCTCTGTCTCTGTCTTTCCCTCTCTCTCTCTCTATCCCCCTCTCTCCTATCTCTCTCTCTCTCTCTCTACTCTCTCTTCTCTCTCTCCTCTCTCTCTTCTCTCTCTCTCTCTCTCTCTCTCTCTCTCTCTCTCTCTCTCTCTCTCTCCTCTCTCTCTTCTCTCCTCTCGCTCTCGCTCTCTCTCTCTCTCTCTCTCTCTCTCTCTCTCTCTCTATATATCTCTCTCTCCCCCTCTCTCTCTCTCTATCTCTCTCTCTCTCTCCCCTCTCTCTCTCTCTCTCTCTCCCTCTCTCTCTCTCTCTCTCTCTCTCTCTCTCTCTCTCTCTCTCTCTTCTCTCTCTCCCACTCCCCCTGTCCCTCCTCGCTCACGCCCCTCAACCCCGACCCCCTTCATCCGCCATCCGCTCGGATGCAATCAGCGTTCGATGGGAGGGGGCCGAGGATGATGAATAGCATAGGGGAAAGAGGGCGACGACGGTGAACGAGGGAAATCGAGGAGTACAAAGATGATGGATGATCCAGAGAATGAGGGAATGAGGGTGAATACGGTGAAGAGTGAAAGAGGATGGGGAGCGAAGGAGGAGGTGAATGATGAGCAGGATGAGAAGGGGGGTGAGGATGAGGAGGAGTGGATTACGAGGGGGATGAGGAGAATCGATGGAGGGCGAGGAGGAGGAGGGATGGGCGGGGAAGGAGGAAGGGAGGGGGATGACGAGGGAAGCAGGAAGAGGGAAGGAGGTGATCAGGAGGGAAGGAACATGTAGGAGCGAAACAGGGTGAACAGCAGAGTAAGTGCGGGAGGCTTCACGCTGCTGGCGCTCGTCGCGGCGCTGGCGCGTCGAGCTATTCGACGCCGAGGTGGTGGCTAGGCGCGCCCGCCTGGAGTCAGGCCCTGGCCGTTGCGCGCCCTGCCGCCGCCGTCTGCTCTGCAAAACTTCGAAGAAGTAACTCCTGAAGTGCGCCCGCTCTGCCCCTCTCCGCAGTATCAAGTAACATTGGGCACGTGAAGTAACACTCAAAGTAACCCTAAAGTAAGTCAAGTAACTCCAAAGTAACTTCAAAGTAACTCCAAAGTAACTCCAGAGTAACCCAAAGTAACTCAAACGTAACTCAAAAGTAACTCAAATTAAAGCAAAAGTAACTCAAAGGTAACTCAAAAGTAATTCAAAAGTAACTCAAAGGTACTTCAAAAGTAACTCAAAAGTAACTCACAATTAACTCAAACGTAATTCAACAGTAACATATGTAACATGTAACATGAACATTCACCAACGTATAACCACCGCACCACCAACGTACCGCAGACACATTCCAAGTAACGTACAGCAAACCTATATTCAATGTAGTATGTAGTACCTCAATGCACGTGGTAGCTGCATGGGGCGCACACTTAGAGCACTTTTACGATATTACGAATGCCCCGAAGATTCGCTAAGTACCCCCCTACCCCCCACCCTCCTCCACAGCGCGTCCTCAAGGGATTAGTTTTTTGTTTTAGCGTTCTTGGAATTTTGTAATTTGGCGAATGCGTTGGCGCAAGCGCCCATAGCCTTAGCGCGCGGAGTTCGCGGGCCTGGACACATGCAGTTGCAAAAAAAAAAGAGATGTTATTAAAGTTGGTGATGCTTTGGTTGCTCGCTTCCTGGGTCGCGCGCGTAGCGTGCACTGGTGTCACGTGCAATGCGCGCGTCGCCCTGATGAGGCTCCAAGGGGCATTCAAACAAACATCGGGCCGCCCCAACGCACGCGGCATGCGTGGGCCTGTGGGGGGGGGGGGGGGGGCAAGGGGCGCGGCGATCGGGCGTCTCGTGGAAAAGCGTAACGTCGAAGGTGTCGGGTTCGCAAGCTGCGCCAGGGTTGTCCGAATTAGTTGCGGTGTGCACGTCGTGGGCAATCTACGGGCAACGTGTAAGGATGTACTCGGGTTTTGTTTGTCGTTGCTCCGAGCGCTGTCAGCGGGCCCGAGAGGGGGCGCCCTCGCTTCGCTTTTTTTGTCGATCGCCGTCGTTCGCGTCGCCGTCGCCGTGGCTTGTCAATTTCGATTGTGCATGGGCGCGAGGAGGATTGCAGCGAAGCCAAACAATTTGTTCAGCATTGCGCTGCACAAAGCCTTTGCTGCTTCTCCTGCATCGCCGCACGTGGGTCCCGTGTGGACAAGGGCTTGTCGGACTTGCAGTCCAAATTCGACTTCGTGGCCCCTGGGTACTTGGCGAGGGCCACGGCCATGGAGATGCCATCGGTCATGAAGACCATCGCCCGTAGCACCCCCCAAGTGCACGGTGGGTTCAATCGCGCGTGAAAGGGCATCAAGACGCCGACCGCAGAGCCGCATCAGGAGCCGCCGCCGCGAATTACGCGGCGGCTCACGCACTGCGCGGGGAGCAGGATGGCTTGAATCCTCTGTTCGCCGAGCTCCCAGAGTCCATGGCAGCCGACTTGCAGCCGCGGGATCGCGGCATCCTTACCGAATCTGGCCACGGCTGCAAGGCCAAGGTGTTATGGGGTGCTGCCGCCAATGCTTCGTCGGCGTTCGAATCGCTTACAGGCGCTGCCGCGGTTAAGTTTGGCAGGGCGCGACATGGGGGGCGGGGGTCGCGCGCGGGGGACATCGCGCCGAAATGCGGCGGCGCGGCGTGCGGGACCACGGGGAATCATTTTCATGGGGGGCGATGGGTGGAAGATGGGCGCATGGGGGAGGGAGAGGAGGCAAAGTAGGATGGGTGGAGGGGGCGGGATGGGGGGATGGGGAGGGGGGCGGTGCCAACTAGGAGGAGGAGGCGGAGGAGGAGGATAACAAGGAGAGAGGAGGAACATGAGAGAAGAGGAGGAGGGGGGGGATGCGAGAGGAGGAGGAGGAGGGGGGGGAGGAGGAGAGAGGGGGGGGGAAGAGGAGGGGGGTTAACATATAACGGCGGGCGAGCGAGTTGCATATGGGGCGCAGGGT